CTTCGATGTACGTATGCTGATATGAATCAAACTCACCACAAAGATTGTCACAGAACTTAGAAATTTATTGCACCACAGAACTTGTATTTATTGTATGCGAGTACGGCAATTTCGAAATGTTATTGTTAAAATTAAGTTTATTTGAATCAATATATCGAGTCAGTTACTGTTGGATATAACGATAAAGAATTGCTTGCAATTCTTATACTCAAAGAAATAACACGGAACTATGCATACTTCGTTTAATCAAAAAGAAAATTTCGAAAATCTATCGTTTAAGTGTTTACTGCGTGAAGTGCACAATACGAATGATTCAAGCGGTGCCGCGTGAGGCTGTAACAGGCGAAAAGGACTTCTCTCCCTTACGTCTAGATAAAGGGTAGAGCAAGGAGGTTGATGGAGCTCGCGCCGATTGCGCGCACGGGGGAAAAGGCCAGCTTCGAAGAATTAAAAATACACGACCTAGTAGCTTCTTGAAAAAACAATGAAGGGTTACTTCGAAATTCAAAACGACCTGCAAAAAATCATATTTTTTTTTTCTCTCTCTTATTTAGACACCTTCAACTTAAAAGGGCCTGCTTGGACCCGTGCGCAGAAAGAGATAACTACCCTCCCTCCCTACTGTCTCGCATTTGCCAGACCCGAAGACCTGTGGGGCAAGGGAAACCTGGGGGTATAGGTAGTGCATATGCACTACACCCTACTATTTGTACTTGCGATACAGCTGAATGAATTTTGCCGCATATAGCCGTGAGCCTTTTACACTGACCTAATTAAGCTGTAAGCAACCTCTGCTGTTGTCAGCGGCTGACAGTTTCATGTCAAAAAAGAAGGCCCCAAAGAACCATCAACTGAAAGAAATATAATTCTCACATCATTTTTGCGTTATATATTACTAATTTCGCATCTAGAAGCTGAAAAAATAATTAAAATCTTCGCTTATTTGTAAACGACTTGATTTTCTTCGCACAATCATTTTACAAATAGAAGGATTTAAACCAAGTGAAAACAAGTGAGTACATATGAATGGTTCACCAGTTATTTAGCAACGATTTTAATGTCCATTAATGATGAGCTTACAAATTGTTTTTAATCGAGTGTCAACCCCATACGCCAATTCGCGTTATAGCTCTGTTTTCGGTCGTTCGTTATACACCCCAAAGACATTTCACGCCTCTTACAGTAAAAGGCTATCCAAAGTGTCGCACACATTACATCATTTACACTACATAAGAGAGAGAGAGAGAGAGAAGGAGAATCGGTCGTCGCTGATGTTCGTGGTCAAGTTTCTCTATCTGTCTCTACAAGGATTTTTATTTCTACATTAATTAACCCATAGATTAGCTTTACTCTGCGCTCATAGGTGCACATCAGAATCTTGCGAATTTTTAGACTGATGGGCAGTAGGTAGGAAAACCATAGAATTTTGACTAATCAAAATAGCATTTAAAATGTCTATTTCGATCAACTGCCAATTAACCCCGTGTTTTTATATGTTTCGGAATTTTTGCAGATAATTGATCTTGATAACAACAACAGCAATAACAACAGAACAACAACAAAAGCGTCAATAGCCGTAAGAGGTGAGTTCTTGGATTTGTTTACTTTTTTACATTAATAACCCAGTAAATTAGGATTATTTTTCAGGCGCAGTCATTGACACGTCACGCTGTCCGGTCGAAGGCCACTGCCACGGCTGGTCAAAAGAGGAGGACAAGAACCTTGTCGATCGCCTGGAAAGATCGCACTCGCACATGCACGTCTTCTGGTCGCGTAGAGCTGAGCAAGGGCTGTTTGACGAGGGTAAGTCCTTGGACTCCTTGGCTCCACCGCAGGCAGGCGCTTTTAAGCCCGGCTCTCGCAAACAGGCTTCTCGCCGTGATGGCGTCAGTCAACGAGAGCCAGGTAGCCGCGGACGTAGACATTTTCCCCAAATATTTGAAATCTCGACGACGTTGGCGCCATCACTACGGCGACAAGCAGGAGACTTGGTGGCCTTCGGACCCGAACCCCGTCTACTTTGACCTGTTGGTAAGACAAACTTTGCCCTTATGATATAAGTTGATTGGCAATGATGCGTGCTAGCAATGATATGCTCTGATGCCTTGTAACGCGATATACTATTCCTTTCATTATTTTAATTTTTTCTTCTATCATTTCCGTCCGAGTACGTATTTGAGCAGCAAGCCTTGCGTTACTACAACAAACTGCCAGTGCCAACGCCAGGGCCACCAGAACTGACTCCACCACCACCTCCAAAGAGGCCTTGTCTTGATGAGCAAGCGCCACCCCAGCAGGAGGAGGAAGAGGTGGAGGAGGTAGAGGATGAGATGGACGAGAATCCCAACGGTACTGCTTAATATTTCCTATTGGTTGTCAAAGTTGACGACTACAATCACATAAATACTTTTTTCCGTTCGTTTCTATCATGGCTTTTTTAGATAAGTCAACGTCCCNCCCCCCCCCCCCCCCCCCTAGTGCTCATGGACACGGACGACGATGAATCGTCTGAAGAAGGTACTGGTCAATCGTTTTAACTTTTAACTGTTGTCTTTATTCATTGGTTTATACTATGGATTTTTTAGAACCCCAACCGGAAAACATCAACGATGATGTAGAAGGTACTGTTCAATATTTTCAGCTTTTATCTATTTTCATACGGTTTCTACAACGGCTTATCTATTCTTATAGATTATCCGGCCAATGCCATCCGGTATACGGCAAAATATTTCCGCCAACTCCTACAAACCAATTCGTTATCGAAATTCCGATGGGTACATGTGTCCAGCAGATTCAGAAGAAATTTTGCTAAAGTGAGTGAAGATGTTAGAGAAGCGTTACGGTCTAGTACCGCTTTTCAACTCCATGAGCGCTACGGTGTCGAGCTGAGTAACGCCTTTTTCATGAAGGACAGATGGTACACAGAGTAATAGATCGCGTCCCAAGTGAAAAAAAGAAAACAAACTGCTAAGAACAGTGAAGTGACTGAGTGATAGTGCCAGTGTTTAGTATCAAACGGAGGGGTTAATTTGACTGCATAAATGCAACGGAGGACCTCACGGGTGGGGACGTGGTGGGGCCTCTACCGATCATTTTTCAAAAAGAAAATTTTTTTTTTATAATTACGACAGATAAATAACCCAAGAGTAAATACTTTATATCCGAAATGAACGTATACTTTATTTCCAAAATAGCTCAAGGATTCGTCGCATTTTCCAAATAACCTAAGAGATTATACTTTATATCCAGAATAACCCATGAGTATATACTTAATCTCCGAATTAACCCAAGAGTTAAAATAATCCATAAGTTTTTTGTTTCATCCGAAATAACCCCAAAAATTATTGTTTTATCCAAAATAACCCAAGCATTTATTTTATTCAAGCGACGAACAGAGGTTTTGGTTACGAAAAAGTTGTCTGATTTTTTTTAAAATAGACGAACAAGATTCACACGACCTACTGAAACAATCAATTGCAGAAGTCATTGCGGAGGTACTGCTAATTTCTGGTATACCAGATGAATAGAAAAATATTTTTCTGAATTACTAGAAAATATGAAAACTACATTTCTGGATTACCGAAAATCGGAATATTCGCTTTTTTAAGTTTATGAAATGAAAAAAAAAGAAGAAATTACTTTAACTGCTGAACTCTTTTAAGATCTATATCGAATCTTGTAATGAAGAAATAGAATTTAGCTGTAAAATTAGTTACTTAATTACACTTACAATCAACGGTACCGATTTTTTTTCTTTAGAGTCGCTATATTAGGAGAAAAATCTAGGTAGATGTTTACAATCAGCCGACATGATCGAAATTTCGCATCTTTAAAATATGGTTCAAAAATGCTAAATCTTTATTTTTAATTTTACAAACTTAATGCAGTGACGATAAAGAACTCACTCTGTTATTAGGTATTTCAGATTCGAATTCATGATAATAATTTCTCAATCATAGTTTCTTTTCAAAAGATATTCGTAAAAAAATTGATTTTGATATTATTTGTGACAACCACTAACTGCAACTTTATACAATTAGAAGAAATGATGCCAATAGAATACGGTTTTCATAATGATAAAATTACTTGATAAAAGAATTGAAAAATATTCAATTGGTATGAGCGGGCTAAGAGAATCGGTAATGTAGGACCAGGTTTTCTTCTATACCTACCTGCATTATTTCTATCTTTGAAAGCTCAAAGAAATGGCTAGTTATAGGAAAAAAGATGTATGATTAGACACTTCAGTCAATTATATCATGCAACGTTGAGACACATCTTTTTTCATAAAAAACTCATTTTTTGATTATCAAATTGAAAGAATTTGATAATTTATCGATGAAAGCTCGAATGGCTTATATTTACATTTTTATTCGCAATTTATCAACAATCTTTAACAGTCTCCATATAAGATCACATGTTAAAATCAATCAATCAACAATTTTCAATTACCTGTATACTTGGGTGTTTTACACAGTTTTTAGTTTACTCGATAAAATTTTAGATTTTTCTACATTTTTATGCCTAAGTCGCTTATGTCACCGTAAATCTCAACTTACAATATTATCTTGAAACCGTATAGAGATATTATGTAAACAATGAATTATACAATAATTACGATCGTGTGTCTAGGATGTTCGTTTTTCTGTCCGCACAAAGTTTTTACCATTTTTAACGCTTCAAATCATTAACTATTGATCAGCTTTAATGGGATACCGTTAGAATGTCAGCGAAGAGCTTTTTGCTCAAAGAGCATAAAGTAGCCATTACTTCTGAATTTAGATAAGCTTCATTCAAATTTAGTTTTTGCAGCTTGCCATAAGATCTTTTCAATCAAAACTGAAAAAGTATAACATCATATCTGACACCACACTTGATCTCCAACATAACGCAAAAGCGTCACATATAAAAATTGGTACTAGGATGAAGATTATTAGTGTCAATGAAAATTATTATCGTTTTGTCAAGATGTAGGAGAGTAAAGTAACTTCAAACCGTTGTAATTCAAAAAATTATATTCTCTGTAACACTCGGTATAATAGATACTTGACTACATAAATTCGAAGTATAAAAACTTGACTTACAAAATAGAAAAATTGGCCTTATAAAGTCAGATAACGAAAGAAATTCCCCCACTACTACCGAATTTTAAATATCTATTTGCTCGATACAAATGGGTACGTCAAAATTCTCGTCTCATCGAATAACTCGCGAGACGAAAAAAAAACAGTGTCACAGACGAACAATCAATTTTTCCGTCGAACGCGAGAATCGCGTAACAGAAAGCACATGTTCTCTCGACGAGCCGTTTTTTTCTTCGAGCAAACGTGTGTGTGTGCATATAATATATGACGACGCGGCGCGTTCGTGGATGTAAATCAGCTGACGCGCTCGTCCGCCTCGCTCTTCCTCTCGGCGACGTCCTTGTCGGAACTGGACACTGGTAATTTTTTCGCGTTGTTTTGAAAGCATCGGAACAGGCGCTCCTCTTCTTGGAAGTAATCGCGCAGATCCGCCAACTTTCTGCAGTGCTGCTCTGCAAGTTATACAGAAAACGAAAAAGGCTTATTGGAAAATCGATTCGGGCGTAATGTTTCTCTCTCACTCTCTCTCTCTCTCTCTTCTATTCTAAAACATTACAATAGAATTTTTTTTTGAATTTTCGTGCACTACACGAAAAGGGAGGGAGGAAAATTTGACGTAAAATCGATGAGAACTTTGACAGAATGTAGTTAGAAAAAAAAAATTAATTGAAAAAAATCGATCGATGCGAGAGAGACGAATCTTTGATTTTTTTTCTCAAAGAAAGAGAGAGAGCATAGGTCGGAGCATTTTACACAAAAGCGTTACTCACGATGAAGAGTTTCAATGTCGTCGAGCTCGCCGCCGAAATCTTTTGGAAGACACTCGGGCGGAATGTAGCGATAAACCTCGGATACGGATCCCGTGTGCAAGTGCAACTGCAAAGGAAAAAGTGAAAAAGAAAAATCATCATCCCCGCTCCAACTCTTCCGAGAAAGAAAGCAAAGAGAAAAAAAACAATGGGTCGTGTCTCACGATATCCATGAGCTCCTTCTTCATGAAGGGCTTGACCAGGGCGAGCACTCGGTCGATGAACCAGACGCAGTTGAGCACGTGTATGGCCTTGAGCCGGACCGGCATCGCGTCCTGTATGTACTCGAAGAAGCGCTTGATGCCCACCAGGGAGAGCCTCGTCAGGTGGCTGATGCCCACGCCCCGCATGTCGAAGAGAAATATGTGTCCGGGCACGCAGCCCACCTCGTACAGGCTCGCGTCCATGCTCATGAGCAGCAGCTTGACCGAGTCGGCGAACTGGTAGCGGCTCGGCGCGCCATCCGCCAGCCCGTGGAAGATTATCCGATTGCCCTGCTTGTCCGGCTTTGGCAGAGCGGCAAAGTACCTGTGTTCAGTACGAGGGGGGATATATAACACGGGTCGTAAAATCAAAGTTACACGCGCTTCTGTACGTGTGTGTGTGTGTGTAAGTGTATAAGGGGTGAGTTTTTTTCTATACCCTTATATAATACGCTCGGGGCGAGAGCTGGTACAGCGTCGCAAGAGAGCAATCATTTTTCTTCCCTCGCGTATGAAAAAAAAAAAGAAAGAAAGAAAAAATCTTTGTGCGCGCTTCGAACTTTCCTTCCGGCTCTTTCTCTCTTATATACCGGGCGCCACCACCGCTGCCGCTCTCGAGACCCCCCGGCGGCGGCGGCACACACGTTTCCCAGCGGACGAGGTATTAAAAGTGTTATTGGCAGTTTTACAAATCGCGCGCGACGGACACGCGAGCGAGTCTCGGTATACTGCTCTTTTTTTTTCTTCACCGAAACGTTTTCTTCTCTCTCTCTCTCTCTCTCTCTCTCGCTCGGGTAAGACTTTTTTTCGTCTATATTCGTGAGCGCGTGTGCGGTAGAGATGTGCACTTGTACACCGCACGTATATTACGCCCGGACAAATGTCATTGCCGCTGCGCTCCCTTGTATATATGAGAAAATTGCGATTCCATTACGGTATATATATAAGCTACATTGCAGTGGGCTGTACGTTCGAGGCTCGATCGCGACGAATAGCCAAACGTTTCTCGAATGGACGTTACGGAGCTATATACACAGCGAGAGATTAAAAGGCGGAATTAAGGGCTTTCCGCAAATGATCGTGTGTAGCGCGTCTGTATAAGAGAAAAGACGTTGCCGATATATACCTATATGCTATATAGATATAGTGCCGAGGCGCAGTGGTGTGCACCGAGTGGAGAGCTGCACTGCTTATTTATCGCTTCGCCGAGTACACGCTCTGCCAAAAAAGTTCGATTGAAAATGTTCTGTATATAGGTATATAAATTTATAAGCGACGCAAGTATGGGCAATTAATTTGGAGGTTGAAAATATTTTGTCGCGTTCGTTCGCCTCTCGCGAATCAGCGATTACTTATTATGCACATAAACTCGAGTGCGCGAATCTGATCCGTTGGGGTGGTTGTGACGGCTTTCCCCCGCAATAACGCGCGTGTCGGCGCGCGCCTAAAAGCCATAAGCAATTTTAATAGAGGAGAATGTTTCGGCGGTTTTCGAACAATCGAATAACGAAAGCTGCACCAGGGCGACGACGAAATCAAAGCAATTTTACCCCGGAACGATCGATCGAAAATCGCACCGCTCTTTGACATTGGCGAAAAATGTTTCGTATCAATGTATACTTACACGACTTTGAGGGCGTTCAGGCTGGCCTGCGAGGTGGGGTCCCTCGCGGCGAAAAAGTCCGGCACCTGTGCGCGCAGCCTGTAATAGCAGTCCATGCAGGCGAGGGTCGCCTCTCGCTCGTAGTGGCAGCTGTGCGCGAAGATGGCCAGCTGCTCCGGCGGCACCTCGGGCAGGCCGTGGCCGCCGGCCCAGGACTGCAGCTCCGCGAGCAGGTCGTCCGTCAATCGGGGCCAGCGCGCGCGAGACTCGGCCAGCTCGTGGCCCAGCTTCATCCTGTCGTATACGGCGCTCTCGTACGGAAGAAATCGCGTTTTTTCGTTTACGCCGATTCGGTCAACGAGTAAAAGCACAGTTTTAACGTTGCTGTGTGCAGTTCGATTTATTTTTCGGTCGAGAGGTAAACTCGACGATCGATGATTCGCCTGTAAACATAAAATGATTGAGAATTAGAACTGCGAGTCCAAAGCCCAAAGAATTTTAAGAAACTCGTGTTTTTTTTAATTTTATTCTACACGTTGTTAGGCCAAACAATTGACGGTGTAACGTCGTGACGAGTAAAGGAAATATACCGAAGCTCGACGATGCGTGGCTCGTCTTTGTTTATTTTATTTATTTATGCGCAACTTTTTATGTACGTATACGAAGATGTATGTATTTATGAAACCGGTCATTTAACTTTTTTACTTGTAACACGGCAAAATTTCCGAGTTGCGAATAAGTTCCTAATGTTAGCTGTATGTATACAAACATCACGTTTGAGAGAGAAAATAATCGCACGAAAGTTATCAAAAAATTATTTGTTTCGACAATATTTCGCTTTGTAAGATACTTTACATAAATCTTAGTTTAGTTTTGAACTACACCATAAAAATACGACAGAGAATGTCGATTTAGAATCGATATAAAACACTCAGGCATTTATAACTCGATATGAAATTCTCAATGCAGAAAGTTCAAGGTGTGCTGCTAGCGTATGTGCTGTATTAGTCTGACGATTCATGAGACTACCGCTACGATCGCTAGCAGCGGCTAAATAGGCAATTCGTTGCTCACTTAACGCTACTCGTGTTTCTTATAGCTTCGCATATAGATATAGATAAATCACGGTGTATTCAGTACACGTTACGACGCCGCAACGTAAACAGCTAATTTATAGAAAGATCGAATTGACTGTATCTAGTGATTCTCGTAAGAAAAGTGAAAAATATCTCGAATCATGGCGTCCGGCGACGAATCCAACGAGAGTTACCATGGCGAAGGCAAAGAATGCCAGAATTATTCCGATTCTGAAAGTTCGAATCATCTTACGAAAGGCTCAAACTTGGAACAACTCAAGTCTTTACGAGAAAAGGTCAATTGGGAAAACCAAGAAGATAGATTAGAATTTCTTCGGAAACTTAGTCCCTTGATACTCGATTGGCAGGGTCAACTTCCAAATCTTCGAGACATTTTTCGACGCGAAGAAATTGATTTGCTCATTGATGATTACGTAACAAGCGAAGGCTCGATAAGTGATTCATTCGTCAACTTTGTGCTCGCGACCGGCTACAAGGACGAGCCTGATGTTGATGAAAACGGCAAGCCATTGCTGCTTCGTACGACTGCAGTTCATCGTGCATTTACACACAGATGTATCAACGGGTTTGATTGGCTATTCCAAATATACAATAGGTTCGACGTGAATTACACCGGCGAAGATGGATTGACGCATTTCCACGTGGCCTGCTTCTTTAGTTATGACAACATCGTCAAGAATTTCCTAGAACTCGGCCAGGATCCCAATATCCTCGTGCCAGAAACAGGTAATTCGCCACTACACTTTGCTCTGAAGTCCGGTGTGACCGAATTGTTGCTGAGATACGGTGCCGATCCGAACTGGGCCAACAAGAAAGGAACGACTCCCCTTCACCGCTATTGCGATGATCTCACTGCAGAAGTGTTCTTCAGGATTAACGATGAAAGATGTCAGGTATTGCAGATCGACGCCCGGGACGAGGATGGCAACACACCATTGCACTTGGCTTTACGACGCTCCAACATAAGGACGGCCGAGTTGTTGCTGAAAAGAGGCGCCGATCCCAATTTGGCCAACGAGAAGGGAGCAACTCCTCTGCACGTTTTAAGCGTGAATGATAACTTCTTAATGAAGATCACGTTATTCTTCAAGATCAACGACGAACTAAATCAGTTTGTAAAGATCGATGCAAAGGACAAGTTGGGTCGGACACCTCTCCAATGGGCCGTCGCGAGTCTCTCGCCGGACGTGATCGATGTACACTTGGATCGTGGCGCTGATCTGTCTAGCTTCGTTTTCCCTTCTGTGAGTGACTTCGATGGGTTCTTTAAAAAAAAATGGGACGACGGAGAGAGAGCTTATGAGACGTTAGCTGCTCTATTTGCCATCGAACGTCTGGAGGATAGAGGATACGAGCTGAAACGAAGCGACGCCCTCACATTAATGACATTTCTGGTTAAACGCGAAGCGTTCAAAAAGTCGGCTCATGTTCAAGAATTTAAGTACGAGGACGAGACGTTACTGATTGTACGATGTGATGATGATAATGATGATGAGAAAAATGAGGAGGTGAGGGCGAAGGATTTCACGGCAGAAACAAAACAGATAATGGTCTATCCAAATCTGTCGCTCTACGACCTAATTCGATTACGACCCAAAGAAGCGGCGAAACAACTCACATATGAGGATTGTTACGACTTGGCGAATGACACAATATGGCTAGAACTCCCTGAAAGGTATTATCAGGCTTGTATTATGTACCTCTGCGAAACGATGTCGAGAAAATTTTTCCGGCGATGGGCACTGTATCTTTTCTGGGAGCTGATACGATATCGGCTGCCGATTCTCTGCTGTGAAATGATCGTCGAGAAGCTGATGAGTCAAGATTTATGTAATATTTGCTTGGCGGCTGCGAGCCCAAGCTCGTAATTGTGATAAATTAATTTTAGTTTTTTTTTAATGTATGATGCCATTAAATGTTGCAGATTAAAATAAATAAATTGAAAATATATGAGGTTCATTACTTTTCTTGTTTTAATTTTATTTTAATTTTATTACCCAACCTATTCACGGTGTAAGGTAACAACAAATAGCGAGAAAATATACTGAAGCTCGACAATGCGTAGTTTGCGCCTGTTTTGTTATTTTATGTATCACTTATTAATGACCATTATAATTTTTATTCTTGTAATGGACGTTTGGTAGGGAAGCGAGCTCGATAACTGTTATAGGATATCATGATACAATACTGCTCGGACACAGTCTTTCGCGCGCTGTGATGTGATTGGCCGGCTCGGGTCAGTGCGGAGAGTTGCTAGTTGCAACGGTCAACGTCTATTCGAATAGTCTCGTCTCTCGTGTATTTTATCTTTGTCTCGTTCGCGCCTACTCGTACTATAAATGCCGGTTCGTGCGGGTTGATCGGTCGAAAGGCTGAAACAAATGCAGAATCGCGCTATACTCGTGGATTTTTGCTTCGAGCCGTAAATCGGGTGTATTTAGGGGGCTCTACACATTATACAAAATATCATCCAACATGATAAAACTTATATCAATCGATTTGTTAGATCTTCAAAATGAGATTCAAAAAAAAAAAAAATGTGGTTAACGATCAAACTTTCGAGATGAACAAGTTTGAAAATCGCGATTTTAACACGGGCTCTTATGGGATGCGGTCTTTTATTGTTCATAACTAATTAAAAAGATCAACCAACTTAATAAAAAATATATTTTCTGAAAGAGAACGTTCCTAACGAACTAACTAATGAGTAATTAAACAAAATCATTGATTTCGAATAGTGCGAGCGGTTGTCTGCCAAATGCGAGAAAGAGACAGACAGATGCCTCGGTGTACTATTGTTATGATTGGTGTAGAGCCTCCTTAATGTGTGTTAATTAATCAGTAAACTTTACCACGCTGCAGCGTGAACAAGATCGCATTAACTGTGGCAAATGATTCTAGTGAAAAAAGTAAAAAGTACACCACCGATTTGTAAGTGATTGTGTTTGTGATAGTGGTCAAAACAATGACCCGAAAAAATCAAAAACGTTCGAAGAAACTGAAGAAGATACATAAAAAGGTTTAATCGGAGGTCAAAGTAGAGCGTCATAATTCTCTGCGTAAACTCAGTCCCTTGATCACAAATTGGAACGGCCAACTTCTTAACTTCCGAGATATATTTCGGCGCAAAGAAATGGATTGCATAAGCCAGCAGTGAGTTGATTAACTTTCAGAAAAACTTCAGTTCTTAATACGGAGTTTTCAAACTTGACAAATTTTTAAAAACTTTCTTAAATTTTATTCTACACACTGTCAAGACCAAACAATTGACAGTGTAAGGTCATAACAAAGTAAAAGAAATATACTGAAGCTCGACAATACATGGCTTGTCTTTGCTTATTTTTTAAAATAATGTAAGAGATTCATTAGTTCATGAGACTACCGCTAAGATTGCTTGCGGCGCCTTGAGCTACATAGCAATTCGATGCTCATCGTATTTTTCGCGCGCATTTTTATTGCACCTAGGATATAGACTGCACTCGGCAGTCGGCAGTGCCATCAGTATAGGTTACGACGCGACCGGCGACGGCGCAACGAAAACAGATCAACGTAAAGATCTCTTCGACTGCGTGCAAGCGATTCTCGCGAAAAAAAGTGAAAAATATCTTGTATCCTAAGCTTCTGTGTGTTGTGCGTGAGTGCACAGAACAATAGTCATGGCGTCCGGCGACGAATCCAATGTGAGTTACTATGGCGAAGGCAAAGTCGAAGATTCTGAAAGTGCGAATAATCTTACGAAAGACTCAAACTTGGAACAACTCAAGAGCTTACGAGAAAATGTCAATTGGGAAATCAAAGAGGATAGATTAGAATTTCTTCGGAAACTTAATCCCTTCATACTCGATTGGCAGGGTCAACTTCCAAATCTTCGAGACATTTTTCGACGCGAAGAAATTGATTTGCTCATTATTGATTACGTAACAAGCGATGGCTCGATAAGTGATTCATTCGTCAACTTTGTGTTCGCGACCGGCTACAAGGACGAGCCCGACCTAGGCGAAGACGGCAAGCCATTGCTACTTCGTACCACAGCAGTGCATCATGGGTATAGACTAGATGTCAACGAAATTGATTATCTATTTGAAATATACAACAGATTCGACGTGAATTACACCGACGAAGATGGATTGACGCATTTCCACGTGGCCTGCTTCTTTGGCTATGACGACGTCGTCAAGAATTTCCTAGAACTCGGCCAGAATCCCAATATCCTCCTGCCAGAAACAGGTAATTCGCCACTGCACTTGACCCAGTGGTATGGTTTCGACCATGTGACCGAATTGTTGCTGAGGTACGGCGCCGATCCGAACTGTGCCAACAAGAAAGGAAGGACTCCCCTTCACCTCATAAACGAGTGTGCCGTTACAGAAGTGTTCTTCAGGATTAACGATGAAAGATGTCAGGTATTGCAGATCGACGCCCGGGATAAGGATGGCAACACACCATTGCACTTTGCTGTGTCTCGCGGCGACGGGGAGTTGGCCACTATGTTGCTGAAAAAGGGCGCCGATCCGAATTCGGTCAATGCGAAGGGATTTACTCCTCTGCACTTGATTTGCCAGAGAATCTGGTCCGATGGCATGATGGAGCTATTCTTTAAAATGAACGACAAACTAAATCAGCTTGTAAAGATCGATGCAAAGGACAAGTTGGGTCGGACACCCATTCAATGGGCTGTGGCGAATTTTAGTCCGTCTTGTATTGATGTGCTCTTGGATCATGGCGCTGATCTGTCTAGCTTCGTTTTCCCTTCTGCGAGTGACTTCGATGGGTTCTGTAAAAAAAAATGGGACGACGGAGAGCGTGAGTTATATGTTTTTGAGACGTCAGCTGCTCTATTTGTCGTCGAACGTTTGGAGAAGAGAGGATACGAGCTGAAACGAAGCGACGCCCTCACATTCATGACATTTCTGGTTAAACACGGAGCGTTCAAAAAGTCGTCGAATGTTCAAGAATTTAAATACAAGGACGAGACGTTACTGATTGTACGATGTGATGATGATAATGATGATGAGAAAAATGAGGAGGTGAGGGCGAAGGAGTTCACGGCACGAACAAAAAAGATAATGGTCTATCCAAAACTATCGCTCTACGACCTAATTCGATTACGACCCAAAGAAGCGGCGAAACAACTCACGTATAAGGACTTTTACGAGTTGGCGGACTCACAAAAATGGCACAAGTTCCTTAAAAGGGATAGTGAGGCTTGTGTTGCACATCTGTGTGAAAAACTATCGAGAGGATTTTTTCGACGCTGGGCACTATATCCTTTCTGGGAGCTGATACGATATCGGCTGCCGATTCTCTGCTGTGAAATGATCGTCGAGAAGCTGACGAGTCAAGATTTATGTAATATTTGCTTGGCGGCTGCAGGACAAGGCAAGTGCAATGAAGTCGATGAAAATATTTCCAGTTTTTAATGTTTCAAATTTTCCATATTATTCAGATAAATTAATTTATAATAAAAATTGAATTAATTAATTTGCTAGTGTTTCAATTTGTTGCGTTTTAATTTTATTTCAACTTCATTCATGTCACCAGTTTCACATCTTCTCTTTCGCTATTCTCTTTTCGAAAAACTCAGACACACGCTTTAAAAGCTTTTGTACGCGCGGCCGTGACTCGAACGTTTGTTCGGCTGCACCGATTCCTGTGAAAAATCATACGACTATGGCATACACACGAAACACCTCTAATTGTAGCTATTACGTCAACAAATTGTCTACGCGCACACTCGGGCATACGCGGTCATATATATATACATACAATTTTCCGTCGCGTATATCCTCCGTGACTGCGCGAGTTTTATGTGTATTATACGCGACGTGTACACCAATACACAAGCTCGTACTCTCTCTCTCTATGCTTCTCAATGAATATATAAAGATTTACCGTATAGATGTCACAACAATGACGCGCTTCGTTTGTGCCCTCGCGCGCAGCAGCAACGATTTTGCGTATAATATGTGTCGCGCGCGGGCTCAATTTTCGGCTTCGTGAATTTATGGAAATTTGCCTCTTTCTCTTCTCCGTACAAAAGCAATTGTATGTAGAGAAAAAGCGACGGTTCATAACGGAAAAAAACGTACATCTATGCTCGCTGCTGCGATACACGACGACGACAACGACGAACGGAAAATTGTTATTCAAAGGCTTTACTTCAATTTGATACCCTTTTTATTCGATCACGTTTTATTTATGTTTTAAAAGCTTTATGCAAATTCCGAATCGAATGTTTAATACAGTTTAACGGCAATTATAGTCGAGGGGGGATGTACGACAACGAACACGCGTAGTTCTTTTCTTTTCGCGGGTAAACGCGCGAAAAACACACACACCCGTGCAATTGCGAAATTGAATAAGCGATCGCAGCTCGAAACAAAAATAAACAAAGATACACGAATTCCGTGCGTTATCGGTCTCTCCGCTGTCACGAGTAATATAACGTCGAGGTATGAACATTTCTCGCTGGAAACAAAGAGAAAAACTTATGACGCGCGGAACGTGCTTCTTTTTTATCTTTATATTTCCATGCACATGGACTGCTACAAGTTTTGCTCGCGTTTGCGATGTGTATATATAGTATACAACGAAAGCGAGCAGCCGGTTCTCTCTGATTTCAAAATTATCATCACACACACACAGACACACCGTAGCCCTATGTGGCATGCAACTTCAGACTGCAGCGAGTCTCCGACTTGGCTATCTTCTATCTATTATAATTACTCGCTGAGACGTTTTACTCACCCCCTTGGGCGACGAAAGCGCAGAGTATTTGTTCGGCGCTGCGTCTGTATATATATATAGTTCGTCGAGAAAAGAGCGTACACACACCGTCGAGGCACGCGCGCATAGACACACTGTGAAACGCGCAAGTTCAAATGCATATAAATAGCGATATAAAAAGGAAGAGATTTACACCCAAAAAAAAACAAAACTGCCTGCGATGCGCAACGAGAACGAACAAAAAAAAAATAACTATAAAAAAGAAACAACTAAACTCGACGATGACCTCTCAGAGACTCGCTTCTTCTTCTTCTTCTTCTTTATTTTTTTTTCTATGTTGTACGTATGGCTGCTGCTGCTGCTGTAGCACGACGAGCGTAAGTAAAGCGTAGAGTATCACAGGTATGAGACTGCTACACAGTAGCACGTGTCTGACAAAGAAAAAACAACAACAACAACAACAACGGTAGCAGCAGCAGCACGAGTCGTCGTCCGTATAGCGCGTCGGTAGAGCGACTGGCAGCGTGTACCGTACAGCGTATAACGTACAAGGAGGCCCGCCGAGCTGTGCTCCGACTCGTGCCCCGAAAGTGCAACTCTCTTGACGCGTGCTGTGTGTGCTGCTGCAATCCAACGACGTTTTTTTTCTCTCTTTACTGTGTTTTTTTTTCGCCGTCGACTTCTTTTGCGACACACGCAGAACCGACTGTATACGCGAGACTTTGGTATGCTTATATGTACTACTGCACAAGTATAAGTGTAAGTTACGAAATAGCGTCGCGCGAGCTAGTTAGCGCGAGAGCAGCTGCTAGGACTAATATAGGCAAGTAAAGAGTAAGAGAGACGAGTTTGGCAAGGTCGACTGCCGATTTTTCGCGCTTCCAACTTATTCGCCTTGTACATATCATAACTTCTAACTAATTTTCTTCTCCCTCTTCTCTCGAGTAAGTACGAGTAGTATACATACTCTCGGTAGCATATATATATAGCGCCGCACGTGGAGAGATTATATATTTGCGCCTGTAAGGATCTCGCGCGATACGGTGTGTCGGCGGCGGCGGCATGCAGACTGCTGCTGCTGCGCTGCGGATAGTAGTGCCATGCGCGCGGGTCATTGCATTTGAAATGCAAAGCGCTGCCGCTGCCGCTGCTCGCCGAGAGAGCGGGCAATTAGAGTCTCGCTGTGCATATTATGCATGCGCAATTTTTTTTCGCCTTTTTTTTTTACTGATTTACTGCCACCGCAATAATACTGTGTACTTGCTGCACACGCGTACACTCGCGGGTTTTCTCTCTCTCTCTTGCGCTCGCGTTGCCCTGACAAATGGCTTATTTGGTGCGAACCGCTTCGCAGCTGCAGCTAGAAGAAGAAGAAAAAAAAACAGTAGAGAGATGCATTATTTTTCTTTTCCAACGCGCGTTCGGACTCGTGTGCGAGTGTGTGTGTGTGTGTGTGTACTGCAGCGCGCGCGAGGCGACCTTCGCGCTAGCGTCGCTGTATAATGAGATCGTTGCCGCGCGCCGAGTTGATCCGAAACACTACGCGCCTTGGTTAAATGAATATACCTGCGAATGTGGTATTTATTATAATGTACTCTCCGAGTGCGTCCGAGTATGGCTTGATGAATTTTTTTCACACCCGTTTCTTTCTCTTTTATTCCTTTTTTTTTTGTCGAGCCATTGTATACATCATCGTGGACGCACGCCCGGTGACATTCGTTGTCGTTGTTCGTCGAGAACAAAAAAAAACGAGCTGCCTGCTCTCATTGGCGAAGAAGAGCCGCGTAACGAAAAAATAAAACAACCTTTCCGATCCGCCGAATTTCCTCGTTTCGACAGTGAAAAGCTTTTGTTTCGCCTTGCCATAAAGATACACCTGTACGTGTGTACGTGTATTTAGACGTGTTTTAACGTTTTCGCAGGCACACAATACGTATGTGTGTGTGTGTGTGTGTGTGTGTGTGTGTGTGTGTGTGTGCACTGGACAAACCGACGCCCGAGAGGATACTCGTACGTTAAATATTTACTCAAAGTATTCATTAAGTAAGAAAAAAAAAAAGGAAAAAACCCACCTTTGTGAAATGAAAAGGAAAAAGATGTACATAATTAACGAAAATACACGCACGCACACACGTACAAAAAACTATTTCAGCGACAATATTAAACAACACAATGAGGTGATTACTATTGAAAAAAAAAAACAAAACGAGTAAAATATGGTGTGACTCACTGATACGAGTCCGAAAGTGTTTGGTATGCGGCTCGGTACACAGTGCGCGTGTACCTATGTAGCAAAATTTCTCGCATAAATTCAGAAATTTCCGATGACACGTTTCACGGAGAGTGCAGAATTGGCGGTATACTCGGGGCTTTTATGATTAAATCGTGGTTTTTCCTACGATCGTTCGGTCCAAAATTTATTCGAAAAGCTTCGTTAACTAACAAGATAGTTGCGCGAGCGTTCAATTTTTTTTTTCCGCAGTAACTCGACGATTACTTTCAAAATATCAAAGTTTGCATCGACATATTGCTGCGGATCTACATATTACAAACTTGAAAAAATAATTGAACATGTAATTCGTTGAAAAATCGATCGTCGTGCTTATTGAAAAGCTGCTCTCTGTCGCTCCCTCTCTCTCTCTCTTCCATTATGTACGAAAAAAAAAAGAAGTATATAAGCTTCAAAGTTATTGCCGCGCGCGTGTGTGGCCTCATAACGGGATAATATACACAAGGTTTTGTTTAATCGGCGTAAGCACTTTACGTATCGATTTGGAAATATCGGAGCGTGAAAATTGTGCTTAGAGAAACACAAGTTGGCGGTGAAAATTTTTTTGCCTCGAACTCGTGTCGATGTATATGCGCGCGCCTAGTTTCCTTACGCACAGCCGCCAATCAATTACCAAACTTTATGTTAATTTTGCGGCGATGCATTTAGAATTATCAGGCGTAAACGAACTCTGATGTCATTTGTGAAACTTGTACGTCGATGGCTTGTATCGAATCAAATTTCGAATTCAGGATTTTCCAACAGAGTGGATTTTTAAATTGAAAATTTTTTTGGACCCCGTATACGGTCAAGTAATAAAACCATACGATTGCCGAAAAACCAAAATAGTACAAAATATCCGGTTAAAGTATAGATGTACGAGCATTCAAAGCCGATCGAACTGGATATAATCGATGTGGTTTTCGGGCAGAGTATAAATTTAGTACGAACATTTCTGCACAGGCACTATATTTTTGGGGGAAGGGGCTATACTGGCTAGCTCTATCAATGGGCGCGAGCACGGACTGGACCGCGCAAGGAGCAGCGCAATTGATCAAATTTTTCCGTTCGATTCACGAGATTTTTTTTTTTTTGGCACGAGTTACAACGCTATAATAACGCTCGGAATAAGTTTTTAAACGCGCTCCATACATATAAATCGTTTATTAAATTCGCTTGTCCGTATAAACAAATGCATCTAGCCGTGTGATTTTTCGCATCGTACGAAATCGTCGTTGTTTTATTCGTTTTACATTTGATGCAGAAAGAAAAAAAAACGTAGAGTTTCGTCGATTGCCGCAGAGGCATTTGTGTGTCGTGTAGCGCGCGTTTGTTTACACACGCACGACTCGCTCTCTCTCTCTCTCTCGTCGACGCGTCACGACTCTACGAGAATAATCAATCGATCGCGAAAAGAAGCAAAAAAAAAGGGGGAAGAAATGTGCGGGGGGATCGATTCGACGCTGGGCGAAGAAAAAAAGAGATCCACGGCGCAGATATATAGCTCGTCCGTCGTTAGTAGCCACCCACATACACACACAAATGACCGAATCTAAACGCATATGCACGTATAGGTACGTATGATAGATCGATGTGTGTCGCCCACCCGCTCGTTCGAGTAAATACGATATCGTGCACGCGTATATATAGCTGCCACACTGGTGGTATAAAGTGCATATACAGCGAGGTGCGTTTCGTATAAAAATGTCTCTCTCTCTCTCTCTCCGCCTGCGGTTGAATTATCAGTTATGAGTGCACGCGCACCTTGGGATCGGATGGGTGGGGGGTTCCCCGAGAAAACCTATGCGTATACATATAAGCGAGCTGCTGCCCCGAGAGTAAGTTACGCGAGTTTTACTCCTATGTGTGTACGTTATGTGGAACTATCAAGCTGCGACGCGAGAGCGACGTGTACGTATAAGACGCGATATCCCCCACTCGCGCGCACTCCGCACACAGGTATCGTATATCAGGTGCTGTGTGTACGCTATATATATTCCCCGCAGTCTCTATATTTTCCGGGTGTTGGACGACTATACACACTGTGTGTGTGTGTACTTGCGGTGGTGCTGGTATATAGTATCGGTGGCGGCCGCCGCCGCTAGTCGACTCGTCGCTCGACGTAGGCGTCGAGAGTGTACTTTCATTGATGAAGCTCGAGTGTAGCAGAGAGAGAGAGAGAGCTTTTTGTGTGACGTCAGCTATATATAGATTTCTCTCTCTCTCTCTCTCTTCTGCACTTCTCGATACACATGCACACAGACAGCTATAGAGGCAGCTGCGTGCAATGAATGCGACGTCGTCGTGTGTAATGCACATATAGACTATATATATACGTGTGCAAGCCACATAAGTGATGATCGCGATCGCGCGACGGCTACAAAACTTTCTGTACGTGTGTCTCTCTCTGTGTGTACACACATTCAGTAGATCGAGTATATTGCTATACGTGTGTATTATAAAATGCAGCGGGCGTAATACGACTCGCAACTGTTTATCGGCGTTATATATAGACCGTTTATTGTCTCCCGCGCGCGCGGGCGATCGCGCGAAAGAGAGAAAGAGACCGTACGATATGATGTATAAACAATGCCAAAGCTCGATGCGTCTTATTATTCGAATCGGCGTGGAACGAACGAAATTTCGCTCAATTTTCACCCATGGACGATTGAAAGAAAAGAACGAGGATAAAAATGAAAACGAGCCGCCGCGTATACAAGGCGGTAAACACGTAGAAACGTATATAATCTTATCTCGGCGAGGAATCGCGTGAAAATTTTAAAATAACCATTTAACCGCTCGTTAAGTTGTCGGATAAAAAATTTATTATTAATGTAGGCTGCGAGCTCTGCGCCACCGTGTGCATATAGTTTCGAGCTTTTTGCGCCAGAGTACAGAGAGAGAGAGAGAGAGCGAAAGCGATACAGAGACTACTACGTACGTATACGCGTACTACGTTCGCATTACATGCATATGTATCACGTCGACGAATCTTCCTCGTTACAGAGAGAGCGAGCTCCGTGCGGCAAGTCCATGGCTCTCTCTCTCTCTCTCGTACGAGATACGTATCGGACACTCAGGCGGGGGTGAGGCGGCAAAACTGGGCATCTCTCCCCTGTCGTGCTACATATATATACTAGGAGAGGTGTGGGAAATAAGCGCAGCGACTCGTCAAGGCACACACACACACACGTGATGTGTACAGAGAAAAGCAGAGCTATATATCGTATCT